CTTTCTTTTGCGCTGTCTCTCCATAAAGAATTTTTCTGTTCCATAGATTTTACGGTTTGCCAGCCAACCTTCCTTACAATATTTGGCTTAATGTTTCTTGATATCAAGCCAGCATTTCTTTGTTTCAATTCTTTCTTCTTTTTCTGTAAAAGTTGGGTAATAAATAATCTCTGGGTTTGATCATGAGTGGATTCCAAAATAGATATTAATGTTTTGTCAGCTTTTGGGAAGTGGATTGAACAGAGAAATTTTCAGCACCCCTCTGATCTATCTAGATTCATTTTCCTTTTATTTGGTTCCTTTTCCTTTTAATCTAAGTTTTTTTGTTTACTTTTCTACTTTTCCTCCTCCAAATTTGCTTTCTCCCTCTCCTTCCCTATCCCTTGCTTTTTCTCAGCTTTTCATGCTTCTAAGTCAGAAAGCGTATCAGATTCCAGTTCGTGTGAGCCAGAGATTAGGAAGATATTCCGCTCTGATCATAGACATGGACCCTTTCGTTGTGAACACATCCCCAGCACTTCTCATAAACGCTGGATTGTGCAGAAGTGGTGGAAACCCATTCGTCAAAAGTATTCAGAATGTTCATTAAGCAGATTTTGACAACGGTGATACGGTGTATGATCCTTCTGGAATAATCCATCGCTCTTGGTGTACTTGTAATGGGTGAAAATGATAATATATCAAGAATTAAAATACTGATGTTGAATTTAGGAATCTTAGTAACATACCGTTTTTGTATTGGGGCAACATAAACTGATGTTATATAAAATTTAATTAAAATAATGTTGAAAAATATTTATCACAAAATATGGTCAAATTCTAATATATACAATTCTCCCACCATTACAAGTAAGATACCTTTTACTTCTCCCGAGATCTAAAAGGTGTTTTTTTTTTAAAAAAAATAAATCTAGAAACAAATATGTTCCAAGTCTCAGTTGACACAAGGCAGATTGTCCTGTGAAACGATTTTAATCACTACGCTATCGCAGAACATCCATTTATTTCTGTGTGTGTGTGTGTGTGTGTGAGAGAGTGTGTATGTGTGTTTGCGCGTAAGCACGCGTATAAGAATCAGTTCTTTATTTATGCGTTTTTTATTATAAGTCACAGGCAATTATTGATTTTTCTTCTATTATATTTATTAAATAGTTTTGCTTCATTACATTGGTCAGGAATTAAGCCTATATAAAAAAATACGCCGAGAAAGAAAAAATAGCTTGTGTGCTGCTTCGTGTTTGACGTCAGCATTGAGCACAGACGCCGTAATGCTGACATATAAAGTTCCTGAATCTTGATACTGGCCAAATGAATAACCGAAAGCGCTCGTTCACAAACTTCTGATTAATTTTGGATTGTTCTTTTCGACACTAATTGCTGTCCCACTATAAGGAAACAGGGAAAATTAAGAAAACATTGTTTATCGGCAGCATTTAATCAAACACGCACGCACGAACACACGATTTTTACTTGCATGGACCCAGAAACCTCGCCTCATATATATATATATATATATATATATATAGAGAGAGAGAGAGAGAGAGAGAGAGAGAGTGAGAGAGAGAGTATGGATATAGAAATCAACACTAGATGGAAATTATCACAGCTCAGTCGATCTTCAAACACATGGTTTCTATATCCTCACTGTATTCACAGACACTCCATCTCCAATAAATATACCAAATTTTAAATAAATCTATCTCTCTCTCTCTCTCTCTCTCTCTCTATATATATATATATATATATATATATATATATATATATATATATGTATGTATGTATGTATGTATAGTGAATGGGGAGAGAGAGGAGGGAGAGAAAGAAATATGCTTTTGTGCACGCGAGTGTTTGCGTATGCGATTGTGTGCGCATATATATGTGTCCTCGTGTTCAAATATGTACACAAGTGAATGGATGTAAGTCTTCATTCCTGCATACTCATCCTTTGTTAATGTTCTTCCGTGTTCACATTCCTCTCTGCCAAGCGTGCCCTCTTACATTCAGTGAGCAGCCTATCCTTGCGCGTTTCTAAAATAGTTCGCCTTTTTCGCCAAAAGCATAAATTTTCTCCAAAAAGCTACGACCAAAAATATAAAGTAAATAAATAAATAAATAAATAAATAAATAAATAACTGTCCTCCTCTTCTCTTCTCCTCATTCTTTCGTTCTTTACTTTACAAAAATGGCAAAACAGAATCTATTCTTGGACGAATCTGAAACGCTCCACCTTTTTTCCTAGGATTGCAATTTTGGCTCTCAAGTCGAGGAATTTCACTTGCAGCGACCCAGAAATGTAAAAACGGTGTTTAGATATGTATTAACAACCGCCTGCTTAAGCAAAATCAGAAAGATGATGCAGCATCACCCAGCTTTAAAAATGACTTCCATAAATCTTTGTTTTAACTACCATGTAGTTATATATAAGGTTGATGTAAAGCTTTCTCGCATTTTTCTAACAAAATCTATTATTCATATAAATTCATGACATTGTTATTCAGTCATCCTTTATATAATCTCATGCTATTTTTCTGATAAATTTTTTACTCCATCATCACAGAACGATTTCGGTACTGCTTCGATGAATACTTGTTTCAACTGCTGATCAGAGAAGGAATGTTGCGTAAAGTTAACAGATTTGGAGAATATGTTGCTTGTAGAAGATGATCTAATCTCAGCTCTGTGAGCATTGGCTGTGTTTAATTTGCTAGGTTTGTGTATCGTCTGGTTCACACTCATCCCGGTCTTTTGAATTGGAGTAGAGGTTTATCCCTTATTTACTGTTTAGGATTAGGTTTCCGGTTCCTTCCAAAGTCTCTTTCACTTCCAGTAGTCCCTTGCATTTTAGTGGCATTATCGCCTTGATTGAATTGATTAAAAACAAACGAAACAAAAACAAATAAAAAATAAACAAACTGTAGGACGTTTGTTGTCGTCTTCTTTATTCAGAAAAAAGTTTTTTTCATTTTCAATGCGTCATTCAGATGGGACATCGTAGCATCGCACAGAAACAGTTTTAGCAGATTCCAGTATTCACTAACAAAAAATCCCATTTGAATTTCATCACGTGTACAAAAAACTCTTCATACCTACTGTAGCTTTCAATGAAACTCTCAAACGTTATTCTGGATCTTGCGACGATTTTCATAGGTTTGAATTCGCGTAATAAATTAATTTTCCAAAGCTAATGAATATTTTGTATAAAAAAAATGGTTCGTTTATTTTACAAACTACGAACCGTTGTTGTATTATTTTAATGTCGAATTTGTCGCACGGTAGATTATATATTATTTTTGTATTTTCTTTTACTTACGTATATAAGTGTGGTCTATTTTAAATACATTTAAAATAACTTTTTAATGCACATAAGAATAAGATTTTTATTTATTTATTTATTTATTTATCTGTCAATTAGCAGTAAAAATAATTTTTATATATATATATATATATATATATATATATATATATATATATATATATATATATATGTGTGTGTGTGTGTGTGTATAGATACACCTAGTGAGTCAGACAAACCTAGGTTTCACCTAAATGGATCGTCAGGAAAGTAAGGCTTACTTTCCTGACGATCCGTTTAGTGAAACCTAGGTAGGTTTATCTGGCTCACTAGGTGTATCTAGGGAAAGTAAGGCTTACTTTCCCTGACGATCCGTTTAGGTGAAACCTAGGTAGGTTTGTCTGGCTCACTAGGTGTATCTAGGTCTGCTCTACGGTTGTATTGAGCGCTTTTGTTAGTTAATTGTTTACTCGTATCGGGTTTTTTTCTTTGGGCTTCAGACCTGCATCTGTGCGATTTTTTGTCGGCAGAAGTTCATGTTTGTAGTTCTTTTTTTTTTTTAAACCTTTTTTCCCCTCGAAATTGATTTGATTATTAGCAAATCAAAAATTCGAGGGTTTTTCGAAAAACTAGTTAGTTATCTCTCTCTCTCTCTCTCTCTCTCTCTCTCTCTCTCTCTATGAATATATATATATATATATATATATATATATATATATATGTCTATCCTGGCAGTGATATCTTCCTGATTTTCAATACTTTGCAATAATAAATTAATGTAAACACATTGCATTTCTATATTAGTATTATTAACAATGTAATAATTGTATATTTTGTCAGTAATGCTTGCATTAATTTCTTTTCAGTGTCAATTGCATTTTACTCGGTTTTTACCTGTAGACTAAGTACCGAAATTTTCTAAAATAAAATTTAAGCTAAATATTGCAAAATTCAATGAATAATAAGTACATCTTCCCGTTACATCGAGTAATCTTTATTTGTCACAGCATAATATGTCTGTAGTTAAGGAGTAGAGTGGTGAAATAGCGATAAGTCGATAGCAATAAGCGAAGCTGAAATATTACTTATGTGCACCAGTTTCATTGGTAGTCGATGATTATTAATTCCTTTTCCTCTCAAACCTACCATCAGATTTTATTGTGTTACTATTCTTTACTTTTTATGCCGGTTCTTTTCGTGGCTATTAGCAATGTTTCCTTTTTTAATATTCTTTCCCCTCCCAGATCTGATAGCCATTTACACAAATGTAGGTTGTTTCCCTCTGTAATAATTAGAGCGAAGAAATATCTTGACGTATTTGCTTAATAAACCCTACCTGTGATATTACTGGTCACAAACAGCTCTTATATAAAATAATATGCAAATTGATGTATAATGTATTTTAAAACAAGTTGTTTGCACTAGATAAAAAGTACTTACCAGAATTATCCTCAGATGTAAAATTGGGAATATTTTCATGTATAGTCTTCTGCAGTTGTATATCCCCTTTTTGTGACAATATCCTCTGAAGTATTTCCTGGTAAGATCGCCGGAATGAAACCGGGATCAGTTCATACACAACAGCGTAAAGGTTTGTGCTTTTCTCCGGAGTGTCCAAAATGGCGACCATTGTCTCTGCCAGTTCAGTTACATCACGTGACCGTTCAAAACGTTTTAAACTCCGAGCAAGACGTTCTACTTCCTGGGGTTTCAAATGTTCGTGGCATAAACGCTGAAACTTCTTAACTAATGGATTTGAAGTCTGCCTGTAGGCCATCGATTAAGAGACGCAATCGGATTTTCAGTAACAAGTGTCGTGGAAAATATTAAAATTTTGACGAATTCATGAGGAATAGGAATGTCCAGTCACGTCGGAAATTATTTCTTTATTTCCAATCCATGTGGCTTACTTAATGGTCGTAGAATGTAGAAATTACCTGATTATTGGGGTAAAAAGAAACAATAAAAATAAGTTGAAAGAACAACTTGGCAAAATTAATTATAATAACGATGCTTCATCGAAGAAATTCAAACAACTTATACGTCTATAATATTAAACAAGCAAAAATATAAATAAAACGAAATAAAAACTAGTTAAAATTAATAATAATGACAATACTACATGTAAGAAATTAGGTTCATATCTATCTATCTATCTATCTATCTATCTATCTATCTCAGTCTGCTTATCACTCATTCTCTCTCAGTCTATTCATATCTCACTTTTTCTTTCTTTATCCATTTTTCATCTGTCTGTCTGTCTGTCTGTCTATCTATCTATCTATCTATCTATCTATCTATCTCATTTTGTACTTGTCTTTATATTGCTTTCTCCTTATCTTTTCCCGCTTATTTCTTTGAAATTTTCTTTATTTTCTCTCTTCTTATTGCACTGTCTGATGCAATCAAGTCAACGTATATGCGCAAGTAAAATATACTAAAACAAGAAATCACGAAATATTGCACTTGTGTGCAACTTTTTTTTTTTTTTTTATTAATCTCGAACGATATAATAAAAATGGCAGTTAGCGATAGCATACTAATTATAAATGCAATAAACAGAACCATCAAACTGAGTTCGAATTCTGGTCAAGACTGCTTGTATCACTTTCAGCTCAATGATCTTGGAAATAGGCACTTGCGCTTTCATTTGCTACCAGTCATTTTGGCCATAGTCATGTCATTGGTACGCCATGTCAGTAGACAGTGATATAAAAAGATCTGCCTTGATATAGGTAGCATGTAATCTCATGCATAATAATTTGAAGATGAGATAGGAACCATTTATTATCTTCTCATGCTAACTGAATTGCTACGAAAGAAAAATGTCACACTGTGCTTACCGTGTACATTATAGCACCAACAGAATATAATATATAAAAGAATCCCAATGTTTCGAAAATAAATGATATATTTGCTAAGCTTAGCGGGAGATCACAATAGTAAAGCACTCAGTGAGAATTGAACCCATTAAGTATAGCTTACAAGAATGGCTTGCAGTCAGTCAATCTACGGGTATGTATATTGAAAATACATAGTATAGGGCCGGCAAAAATGTATGTTCTGATTAATAACATAGTCTAGTACATTTTATAACATAATCTGTTTCATTATTAACATATTTATTATTTTTCTAATATTTTCTGAGTTCTTTCAGGTAACTTCATAATTCCATCCCCTATGAATCCCCTTTTTCAGTAAAAGAATTCTCTCAAGACCGGAAGAAAGTTCAATCTGAAGGTATAGTATCTCCTGAATACGTCGAATGATTGGAAACTTCGTCAGCAAAGAGACATGTTGTTTGCGTTTCCAGATGGAAAATTACACTATTTCTCTTTTCATAAACACAGCATCACTTTCTTTGGCTAAAGATCAGCCTTTCTTTCAGTGAGTGGTTGCTCATCTCGTTTGTTACACGATCACTTGCGTTTCCTGTTCTTGTAAACTATCCACTTCTCATCGTCCGTCATGCTTTATTTTAAACAAGAACATTTAAATACGATCCATGAGCACTTTTTGCTTAACGTGTACGCATGTCACGCATCAAAGCAAATGATAAAACCAAATTTATATAAATTATTTTTAGCGCCTGATTAAGATATTATAAGAATATCTAAGCGTGGTACAAGATCTGCGGAAAGATCTCACCAATTTACATTTGAAATGGCTAGATGTAACCATAAAATCTAAGCTAACAGTTTCTTCTATCGCATTTATTGCTTGTAGAACTCTCTTCTGGCGTCTTATTTCCCAGTGAACTTTGAACTGCAAAAATTTAAATGCAATGCCAATCGTTATCTCCTGCCTTCTTAATTTTTGTTCTTTCTCCTTAATAGTGTTCTTTTTCTCATATTCTATAACACTCAGTGAACCCTTCCCGCTTTGTAACTTTATTGCCTTGCTTGGGATGAAATGATTTAAAAATCTTGGCTATCGTATAATGTTGATTTTTCTCAAGTAATGTCTTTACCTGATCCTTATAAACCTTAACAATTTTACCTGACCGTGGATCATCGTTCAGTGGAAAATCTTCATTAAGAAACTCCACAACTCACTTTTAATATATTAGATCATTCACGGTGGCTTCCTAATGAACTTCATTTTTGCTTTGTAACCATATTAAAAACATAAATTATATTCTGAAAGTGTTGCTTATTTTCTTCCATTTTCAATGTTAAAATCAATAAACAAAAATACGATAATTTTGACATAAAAACACGTTGTTCTGACAGCTGCTACACCACAATCAAAAGCAATCATTTTGAATGAAGTTAGTTAAAACTAAACATGACGAAAGTCACACAAGAAAAACAAAACGAACTTTCTTATTAGCCAATATTAACTAAGTTTATCTTACTAATAATAGCTTATAGCACAGTTTGCCAATTTTGTGTATAATGCGGTATGAAATACTACATCTATTCTATAATAGTTATTACATATGTGTATACATTTAATACATTAAATGTACCCACTATAATGGGACATAGATGGTCATTTTAAAGAGAAAATCAGTCTATAGAATGTTATACTAATCATCGTTTTATGAAAACCGATTTCCAAGATTCTTTGAAATAACTGATAATGTGAACTTATGAAAAATAAAGAAATTAGAAAAGACTTACTTGAAACCAAATCGAAAGATTTCGTTGAATAAGTCCAAACGATAAATGCACTCATTGAAGGCAACATTTAGTAAATTATAAGAAAATACTTGTCTGTCACAAATATCAGTCGTGATCGAATCAGCATAAAAATAAATTATATGTAAATATAAAAAAGTTGAATAAGAAAAGTAACAAAAAGATCAACCAAGAATTGGGCACCACGTGTTGTGATATCGTGGGGTAAATAATGCCAACAATGACTGCAAGGACTAGAAAGTATATGAAACATAAAAAAAGAAAACATGGATACTGGTCACAGCTGTGATTTCCGGAATGTTCATTTGCGCGCACGCGCACATTTACACAAAAGGCGTTGTTATTATTATATATCTCTATATACGACTTTAATGATACACATATATGAACATATACACGCACAGGCAAATACATATAGTATAGTAGTATATCAATTATCGTCATGGAGAAAGAGATAGATGAACAAGGTTCGAATACCGATAGTAGGGTAAACTCCGAATATCATTTCGTTGTGATTTCTTACTGTCTGTCCCGACATCAGTTATCTTTATAATGGCCCGGTCATTGGATACACCGAAAATCTATTCACATAGAACTAACTAAAGACACACACACACACACACACACACATATATGTGTGTGTGTATAGGTACCTCCAAAGGTTCGCTAAAAAATGAGCATACATGATGAAAAAAATACCCCAAACTTAATAAAAACATTGTTTTATCGTTAAAATTTTATGTTCTTATTAAGAGGAAAGACCAAAAGATTTTTTGAGTATTAAATTATATTTTTCATCGTTTTTAGAGCCTTCGAAATTTTGGTTAAAAAAATTGTTTTTCTAGCGTCAGCGGAAGATAATAAATTACTATTGGAAATTTTTGCGTCTTTTTGAGGTGTAAAACACACTGATTTGGAAATTCTTGCAAAAATGGAATAATTGTTGAGTTTTAAAGAAACTTTCAGGATTTATTCACAATTGTGGAATAATTCTTTAGAAAATCTTGGTACAAATATTTTCTTTCTTTCATCTTATTTAATTTCATGAAATTTCGAGAAATTATTTTTTGTAGAGAATAATGTTTATATTAGTGAAAAGGACAAGTCGTCGAAGAATTTAAATCACGAAATATTTTTGGCCAAACAGGACTCCCAGTTAAAGTAAATCTGTTCTAAATCGTAAAATAAAAATCCAATAAAACTAAGACATTACTTAATTAGAAAAACTTTTAATTACTTTTATGTGTAAAATATATTTTGAACACTATTGTCTTAAGAAAAAATATTTTCGATGAATAATGAATCTTTACAAAAACTGTTTTTAATAAGAATACTTTCTAAACTTTTAAATCTGTGAAAATTCCGTATTAATTTGTAGCGGTCGTATGATATTGCTATTAAATTAGATTGCATTTATTAATCACAAGTGGTAGAGCAAACTACATTTCAACGGCTATCAATATTTTAAAAAGAATTTTGAATTTATTTTATGTCTGTATAAACGTGTAGATTTTTGTAAATAAGCATGTTCAAAAGCGACATTGTCAGAAAATAAAAACAGTAACTATAATATAGTTAAAACTTATTGACAATTTTCTTACATTTCTTCAACAAGCGTCTTCTGACTATAAAGCCAAAGTTCCTAAAATTCAATAACTTACTAGATTGTTTATAATATTTTCTTGAATTTTTAAGATGATCGGGCATATATATATATATCCCCTCGGTGCGCATGTATAATTACCTCAACGTAAACTTCACTTTAGTCCGATGAAGTCCTAAAGAACGAAACGCATCATACGAATTTTTTTCCAGTTTGTTATTAATTTTCTTAATATATATATATTTTTATTGCTTCAAATGTTATTCGCGTGGATTTGAGTAGATGTCCCGTTTTATAAACAGTGTTTATTTCATATACCGGCCAGCCTACTCGAGAAAATAAAGTATATGTGCGCCCCGACCCCCGGCAGGATTCTACATGTAT